TTCCTCTGTCTTATAGGCATGAAGCAAAATTCTCTCTCACTTTCTTCAGCCTCCTTGATTTTAACTGTTCATTTAAAAAGAAAAGAAAGAAGAGGCTTTTAAATGGCCAATCTTGTATATTAGAAATGAAACTGAGGGGGCTGGGAAGGTGGCTCAGTGGTAGAGCGCTTGCCTTGCATGCTCGAGGCCCTGGGTTCGATTCCTTAGCACCACATAAGCAAAAAGAAAAAAGCCGGAAGTGGCGCTATGGCTCAAGTGGTAGAGCGCTAGCCTTGAGCTGAAGAGCTGAGGGACAGTGCCCAGGCCCAGAGTTCAGGCCCCACGACTAGACCCCCCCCCAAAAAAAAAGAAAAGAAAAAGAAATGAAACTGAGGAGCTGGGCATGGTGGCTCATGCCTGTAATCCTAGCTACTCAGGAAGCTAAGATCTGAGGGTTGTGGATGGAAGCAAGTTCCGGCAAGAAAGTCCGTGAGACTCTTCAATGAATCACAGAAAAAGCCAGAAATAGTGCTGTGGCTCAAGTAGTAGACTGCTAGCCTTGAGCAAAAGGAGCCCAGGGACAATGCCCAGGCCCCAAGTTCAAGCCCCAGGACCAGCAAAAAGAAAGAAGAAAGAGAAAGAAAGAAAAGAAAGGAAGGAAGAAGGAAGGAAAGAAGACAAGGAAGGAAGGAAGGAAGGAAGGAAAAAGAGGGAGGGAGGGAGAGAAAAAGAAAAAAGAAAGAAAGAAATGAAACTGAAGAGTCCTCAGCTACTGTTCCCTGTGAGGGAACAGGAAATGCTCCTCTTTCATTTTCTATTTCTCTCTACTTTAACTCTGTTATACTAAAATAAGCTTGGCTAAAACATTTTCTTGTGTTTGTGCTGGTACTGGGGCTTGAACTCGGTGCCTCACAATCTCACTTGGCTTTTTTGTTCAAGGCTAGTACTCTACCACTAGAGCCAGTTTCAGATCAAGCTTTTCGGTGGTTAATTGGAGATAAAACTAACACGGATTTCCCTGACTGGGGTGTAAGGGCTGCCGAAAGGAGACCATGTGATACAGGCAGAAGAGAGTTTATTAGGAGAACCAAATGGCCAGCCTGCACCAGATACAGGTGTGCAGAGCAGAGAGCTAATGGTAGAGAGAGCGAGTATATAGGGAAAGGCTAGGAGGCAGTGTGGCTGCAGTGGATGTGGGGAAGTGACCTCAGAGGATGAGATCCTTTTGCTGACTCACAGTCAAGTGGTTGACAGTCAGGTTACTAACAGTTACAGGTGATTTCTGGTAAGGCTACATGCTGTCTTTCAGGAAGAAGAGGGCGAGAAAGGGGGCTATTCTCCTTGGCAGACCTCACATGGGGTTGGCTTCAAACTGGGATCCTCAGATCTCAGCCTCCTGCGTAGCTAAAATCCTTGCTAAAACTTTTGAGAGAGAGGAGGGGGGGAGGGAGGGAGGGAGGGAGGAAGAAGAAAGAAAGAGAGAAAGAAAGAAAGAAAGACAGACAGACAGACAGACAGACAGGAAGGAAGGAAAGAAGGAAGGAAGGAAGGAAGGAAAATTAAAAGAGAAGAGAGAAAGGAAGGAAGGAAGAAAGGAAAAGACAAAAAATAAATATAGGGGGCTGGGAAGGTGGCTCAGTGGTAGAGCGCTTGCCTTGCATGCTCGAGGCCCTGGGTTCGATTCCTTAGCACCACATAAGCAAAAAGAAAAAAGCCGGAAGTGGTGCTGTGGCTCAAGTGGTAGAGCGCTAACCTTGAGCTGAAGAGCTGAGGGACAGCGCCCAGGCCCAGAGTTCAAGCCCCACTACTGGACCCAAAAAAATAAATAAATAAATATAGCCTATTTCTACTTTCTACTTTGCAGGCCCAAATCCCTCCACCCCAAACCACATAAATGATGATGAGAGGCTTAGCCTACCCCCAAGTAACCTGGCTCTGAATAGAAACCAAAACTGGTCCCAACTTCCCTGTCTCACTTGCCCTGCTGGGAAAGGGGCTTTGAATCGGTGGTTAGCAAACCCAGAGCTCCAAAGCTCACTGGGAGCTGGGCACTGGTGGCTTATCCCTGTAGTCCTGGCTACAGAGGGAGATTGAAATATAAGGATCACAGTTCAAAGCTAACCCAGGCAGGAAAGCCATTAGACTCTTATCTGCAATTAACCAGCAAAGAGCTGAAAGTGAAGATGTAGCTCAAAGGGTAGATCACAGGAACAGCACCCAAGCCCCAAGCTTAAGTTTCAGTAGCAGAACACATACACACACAGTCTCATTAAGAAAGAAGTATGTTAAAAAAAAAATGTAAAAAAAAAAAAAAAAAGAGAGAGAGAAGTATGTAGAATTACCCTGGTGGCTAACTCTGAAGGATCTAGATGAAAGCCATGGTTTTCTAGGGAGAAAACAAAGGATCCTTGGCCCACAGTTGACAGTCTAAGGGCCAGAATAGTTGTAGGGCTTTGTTCCAAATGTGTAAAAACAAATTACTAAGACAAATCAACATTTTGGGTTTGGGTAGCCTGTTGGATTAGTTTAGAGGAAGTGCAAAGCTGGCATCTGTACCCGTGTAGAAGCCAAAGAAGAGCCGGGATTGTAGTAACTAGCTCTATAAAAGAGGAAGCCCTGACCACTGCCCTACAGCAGTCCGCGGTCACTGGGCCATGCCCTCCAGCTGCGCCACCTCAGCAAGCTGAGGGGAGTGCTTTCTCTCTCCTGATGGGACAAGAATGCCTCAGCCAATGAGCACATGACCAGCCAGAGCTTTCAACCAGCTACCTTTAACTTCTCTAAGCCTAAGTGAGACATGCCCACAGATCTCCCTTTACCTCCTCTTTTCTTCCACTCTGTACCCAACAAGGACAACACCTGACAACAGGAAATCTGCCTTGCACAGGGGTGTGAATATGCAGCCTTGCTCACCAGCTAAAGGCCCACACCTATAATCCCAGTTATTCAAGAGGCTGAGGTCTGAGGGCCAGAGTTCAAAGCCAGTCCAGGCAACAAATCTAAGAGACCCTTCAAACAACAACAAATTAGAAGTGGAGCTGTGGCTCAAGTGGTAGAGCATCAGCCTTGAACAGAACAAGCTAAGGGAGAGAGCTCAGGCTCTTGAGTTCAAGCTCTCGTAAGCACAAAAAAAGAAATGAAAAGAAGCCAGGCACTGAAGTAACCCAACTTCCCGGGGGCCGATGGGACTCGTACCCATCATTGGTGAAAGGAGTCACCAACACTCAAGTCAATCAGGCTAGGAACCTTTATTAGCCAGGGTGACTACCCTTGCATTATACAAATAGTGAAAAACAGCTGCCAAGCTTTCTTGCGGCAGGGTTTTAAAGGGGCAAGCAGGTCACACACAGGTGGCAGTGTACGTGATAGCAAGCAGGTTGACAGAAGCAAAACTAGCAGTTAGTGATCACAAATAACAATTACAATTTCAAGAAACAAAGCCGTAAGTCATCAAGGTAAAAGTTACATTTCCAGGCTCCCCCTTTGTTTCATTCCTGATAAGGGTTTAGCTGACATTTACCCAAACACATTCCAAACTTCTTACTTATCACATCCAAAATCAAACTACCTTCCAGGTTTCCTGGCTGTTTCTGAGTTTCACTGTTATTTACCACACTTAACTTGTCTAACTCCCTAATTTTCTGAGTCTTTACTTCTAAGAAGTTCCTTTAATAATTAACTTGGAGTTTCTCTCTACAGAGAGGTCCTGCCTTTAGTGCTTGCCCTATCCTTACAGTATGTGTTGGCAGTTCAAATGGAATGTGACTAGAATATATTTACAAAATGATGGATGATATTAATTGGGGTACACTTGGAAGCTTGCAGACTTACAGGCTACTGAGTTCTGGAATCATGAACTCCTCTTCTCCCAAGAGTAAGGGAAGAGTGTAAGTTCCCTTCAGCAAGAGGGATGGTGGCCAGACAGCAGGAAGGACTTCCTGTCAGTGAACAGTAGCTCAGATGCCCTAATTTTGGTGTGTGTGTGGTAGGGGGAGCGGGGGGAGTAGGTCATCTCTGGCACTAGTGGCTCATGCCTGCAATCCTAGCTACTTACTACTCAGGAGGCTAAGATCTGAGGATCTCAGTTCAAAGCCAGCCAGCACAGGAAAGTCCATGACTCTTATTTCCAATTAACTACCAGAAAACCAGAAATGGCACTGTGGCTCAAGCGGTAGAGTACCCACCTTGAGCTGAAAAGCTCAGGGACAGCACCCAGGCCCAGAATTCAAGCCCCAGACTGACAAAGAAAAAAGGAAGGGAGGGAGGGAGGGAGGGAGGGAGGGAAAGAAGGAAGGAAGGAAGGAAGGAAGGAAGGAAGGAAGGAAGGAAGGGAGGGAGGGAGGGAAAGAAAGAAAGGAAGAAAGAAAGAAAGAAAGGAAAGAAAGAAAGAAAGCCAGCAACATTTGGAGGCTATTTCCTTCTAAATTTTTCACTTAAAGAAATAATAAGTTCCTCTCACTTTTTTTTTTTTTAAACAGGCTAAACACAAGACAAGCTAGGCTTGCAGATTTTTCTGAGCCTATTTCCTCCTAAAATGTCAGTCTGTGGTTAACCTAGCGCTGGACGAGTTTCTCCTTCAGACTTTGTGGGCTAACAGCTGTCTGAACCCCTACAATTGTTAAGGCGTTTTGTTTTATGCTTTTTATCTGTTGAGAAGTATAAGCAATCCAAATAAAACTTTAAAGAAATGAGGTATAAAAAGTTTTCCTAGCATCCACTAAGTTTTCAAGGCCTCCCTGAACTTCCTTAGACACCTGTCTGTAGAAACTGAACCAGACACAGGCTGTTGACCTGGCATTAGCCCCAGTAAGTCCTCCAAATAAGAAGCCAAAAAAGCTTGCTTAGTGGCAATATTTTAATTTCTGAAGACGTCACCACTGTGGGAGTGGTTGTGGGTGCCTGTCTATTTGTCTGGGAGGTACTGATTGGGTGTAGGAGATGGACAAAGAGTGTGGCAGGCAGAGATAGGTTGATCCAGTCCTTGGTACTTCCTAGCTGATTGGAGTGAGGCAAACCCAGACCTTACAGAAATGTTGTTCCTCCTCTCATGTACTTCCTGGAGACAGTGACAACTACGGTGACTCCCAAGGTAATGAATGAATGAATGGATGGATGGATGGATGGATGGTGCCTGGGATAGAAAGGAGATTGTCAATGAATAGCAGCAATAATTATTACTGCAGATGTTGTTAAAAAGAAGTTATTTCATCTAAAATTTTCAGAACAGTAGGAATCTGGAGTTTTGGCTACTGCTTACAGGGAGTCCTGTGGCCTGGGGTCCTCAGGCTTAAGAGTTCCAGCTCTTGGTGTTTGGCTGGTGTTCCTGATTAGGGCAGAAAGGCTACTATCTTCAAAAGCATTTGGACATTGTCTAGATGGTCACATTCCTCCTTGTGAAGGCTAACATGGTGAGAGGTGTATCTTTGAAAGAGAAAAGACGGGAGGAGGAAAAGGACGTGTAGGATGTTGAGTTAAAGGAAGTCACAGAAGGATTCTAGATATGAATTAAGGTGGAGGCTGTGGGAAGGGAAGTGGACAGGCCACAAAATCTACCATTCTTGTGACAGATGATGGGGCAGAAGGAGCCACAGAGCTCTTGAGATTTCTGTTGTAGGGAAGATCCCGTGGATACAGTTTCCTTATTGAGAACATCCCTATTGAGCATCATTTGTTTAGAATTTATTTTAAATTGGATCCTTTTCACAGAGTCAATTCTATTGGCAGTAAAGAGTCAGTTTCTCTACTGTTTTTTTGTCATGAATTATTTATCTATGTACTTACCTATTTCACTTATTTATTTATTCCTTGTGCCGGTCCGGGTGCTTGATCTCCTTCATTCTTGTGCTCTACCTCAGCCTTTTCACTCAAGGCTGGTGCTCTACCACTTGAACCAATGCTCCAATTAATTTTTTTTATTTTTGGTGGTTAATTGGAGATAAGAGTCTCACAGACATAGACTTTTTCTCCTTAGGCTGGCTTCAAATCCTGATCCTCAGATCTCAGCCTCCTGAATAGCTAGGATTGCAGATGTGAGCCAGCCAGATTCCAGCTTGTCGTGAATTTTAAAATACTGGGTATAAAGCCCTGAGGCTGGCTGGGAGAATCCCAAGATGAATGTTTCATCCAAACGATAGAGTTATTTCTAGCGTCCTAGACAAAACAATTTCATGTTCAGGAATCTAGCTCCTAATAGTATTTTCAAAGGTTAGAACTTTTTCCTTATATATGTAGCATTGCATCCGAAATCCCACCATAAAGTAAATGGATATTGCTTTAGTTTTAGCAGAGATAAAGTTGCCACTGTTAATCTATCATCCCACTTAAAAGAATGAATTTTTTGAACACCCAATTCTTTTCCCTCCTCCTTCAGAGACAACGTTTCACTATGTAATCTAGGCTGGCCTTGGAGTCACTATGTAGGCCAGGTTAGTCTCAAACTCTCGAGTCTTCTGATCAAGCCTCCTAAGTGCTGGGATTATAGGTGTGCACTATCTTGTCTGGCTGAACATACAAATGTTTTATGATTATTTGTTTGTTTGTACCCGTTTGGGGGCTTGAACTCAGGGCCTGGGCACTGTCTCTTAGCTTTTTCTCTAAATCTAACACCACCGTTTAAGCCACTTCTCCATTTCCAACTTTTTGATGAGTTAACTGGAGATAAGAGTTTTACAAACTTTTCTGCCTAGGTTGGCTTTGAATAATGATCTTCAGGTCTCAGACTACTGAGTAGCTAGGATTACAGATGAGAGCCACTGGCAACCGGCCCCCATGCAGATGTTTTAAGTTGACAATATTTCCATAAAGCCCTCAAGTATCAAAGTTAAAAATGAAAAGTATTCAAAAGAGAACATTTTTAAAGTGTCCATCACAAGTGTGAAGGGTCACAGAAGATTTTCTCCCTGTTGCTACTGAATGTCACGGCATCCTAGTATTGTTTTCAGGTGTAAGGATAGAGCTTCTTTATGGGCATAGTTTGTGCTGGCATGGATGGAAGAAAGTAAAAATTGTTGCAACTAATAAATAGATGTAATATGACTGGGAACATCAAGCATCTGGCATGGAGTATCTAAGAGTTACTAGCCTGGGGTTTCACAAAGCTGTGTTCTAAAAGATAAGGTAGCCAGATGAACAGAAGACACAGAGTGGTGGAACAGAAAATTATCAGAAGTTGAGGGGAGGCAGGAGGGTGCTGCTTATTAGTAGAGTTTCAGATTTACAAGATGAAAAAAGAGCTAGGCACCAGTAGCTCACATTTATAATCCTAGCTACTCAGGAGGCTTAGATCTGAGGATCACTGGGGTTCAAAGCCAGCCAGGACAAGAAAGTGACCCTGAGACTCTTATCTCCAATTAACTATTCAACAACAACAAAAAGTGGCACAGTGGCTCAAAGTGATAGAGCACTAGCCTTGAGCAAAAGAGTTCAGGGACAGTACTCAGGCCCTTAGTTCAAGCCCCATGATTGACACCCCCCCTCCCCCCCCCCACACACACACCCCAAAAAAAAAAAAAAAAAGTCAAATTGAGAGCCAGGCACTAGTGGCTCACTAGTCAGGAGAAAGAGATCTGAGGATCTTGGGTTGAAGGCAGCCTGGGGAAGGAAAGTCTTGGGGAGAAAAGACAGGGAAAAAATATATATATAAAAGTTGAGGGGGGGGGAGTATAGTTGTGGAGATGGGAGGGAAGGGAGGGTTGGGGAAAAACAAAGGAGGAGGCAACAATGCTTGATAAGAAATGTACTCATTACCTTGCTCATATAATTGTAACCCCTCTGTACAGTATTTTCACAATAAAAAAACTTATTTAAAAAATAAATAAATAAAAATGAAAGTTAAACTGAAATGGTCCAATTGGTAGAAGACAGAGAGGAAGGGAGAGAGGGAGGAGAGAAGAAAGAAGGGAGGGAGAGGGTAGGGGAAGGGAGAGAAAGCACAGGGAGTACTGGAATCAGAAAATTAAGTCAGTGGTTTGGAATTTTCTCATAAAATTTAATATATTTAGAGATAAGGGACATCGCAACATAATATAAAGCCCAATTGCTCATGGTATTAAATGATCCTTTATGGAAAACTCTTTGAAATAATAACAAACTGCAGATGTGAGACTCTGGGGCCCGGACCTGGCATGTTTGGGGTGTAGCCCCAACTCAGTGTTGATGCTGTGTGACAGAAATATGTCTCCCTGAGCCTTGACTGAGCCCCAGGAGGAGATTCTGCTTTCTCCTGAAGAGTTGGGGTCCCACTAACCTACACAGCCTGGCCAAAAAGGGTACTTGCCAGTATTTGTGTTTTTTTTTGGGGGGGGGGGGAGGTCCGGTCATGTGGCCTGAACTCTGGGCCTGGGCGCTGTCCCTCAGCTCTTCAGCTCAAGGCTAGCGCTCTATCACTTGAGCCACAGCGCCACTTCTGGCTTTTTTTTTTCTTTTTGCTTATGTGGTGCTGAGGAATCGAACCCAGGGCCTCATGCATGCAAGGCAAGCGCTCTACCACTGAGCCACTTCCCCAGCCCCCCAGTGTTTGTGTTTTATTCCATGATTAGTCATTTGAAGTATTACTTTCTATTATTAAATCCTAGGTGTGGGGCTGGAAGGTGGCTTAACGGTGGAGTGCTTGCTTAACATGCATGAAGCCCTGGGTTGGATTCCTCAGTACCACATAAACAGAAAAAGCCAGAAGTGGTACTGTGGCTCAAGTGGTAGAGCACTAGCCTTGAGTACAAAATGGCTCAGGGACAGGGTCCAGGCCCTGAGTTCAAGCCTAGGACCGGTATATATACATACATACATACATACATACATAAGTAAATAAGTCCTGGGTATGCATATACCATTCAGGGCCCAAGAGAGACCATAAAAAGAGACAAAATGGATCCAGAATGCACGGAATCCAATTTGGATTATTGGAAATTTAAGGACAGAGGGACTGTCTTGGATAGCAGTGAAAGAGGATCCCTGCACCCCAAAGTGAGTAGAAGGGTGGGAGTGTTCTCCTCTAAACTGAGTAAAGGTAGAGCGTGCTCAACTGGAATGTGCCTAACTTTTCTCAAAACATGAGTAAAAAAAAAAATCCATCCTGGGTGTCAGCGGCCGGGCACGCCATGCTCCATGCTCGGCTGATCAGCCTAACAGCTTTGTTTGGAATGTGTGCTCGGATCATGTGATGACAAAATGTTGATTATGATCAAGATGAGTGTGGCCAGACCCAACAAGATGCTTCCACATAGAAATTTCTACAATGAACTGACCATTTACTGAATCCCAAGCACTATACTTAGCTCTCGGTATATTCAATCTCTGAAACTGATATGGGACAAGAAGAATTAGGTTTTAAGTCACCAAGTCACCAAGCATGCAGGGTTTTGTTGTTGTTTCTTCCTTTCTTGTTGTTGTTGTAGTGGTGGTGGTACTGGACATAAACTCAGGACCTGACCCATAGTTTTTTTTGCTCAAGGCTGGACCTTATCACTTAAGCCACAGACAATTTAAGGGGCTTTTGGGTGATTAATTGTAGATGGAGTCTCACTGATTTTTCTGTGCTAACTGGCTTCAAACTCAGCTCCTCAGAATTTCATGCTTCTGAGTAGCTAAGATTACAGATATGAGCCACTGGTGCCCCGCAAGGATATATAATCCTTAACCCAACTTCATCAAGCAAAATTGAGTCTCTAGCACAGGATGCAGACCTTACATAAAACATAAGAATTCTATGAGAGTTTGTACAAAGAGCTTAGGAATCCTGACCTAGCAAAGGGTCTTACATAAATTCACTTTTCTTGTTCCATGTGGAACTGTCACCAGGTGAAGGTTTGTGAAGTTCCCCTTTAAAAGTAGGGACTTTTCACTTAGAGTTCTTGGCTTTGATTGCAGAATAAGAATTTCTGGACAAGTCACAATGGTAAGAAAACTTGGAAGAGCTTTATTGGGTAAGAAAGCAAACAGGCAAGCAGACAAAAAGCAGGGGCACACTCTTAACAGATTATGGGTGTTCTCAAAGGGAGACACACACTTACACACATATGCACACAACTCCTCATCTGTTAGGGGTAAAGGCAGGGGGTCTGACTTTAAAGTTATGGAAAGCTAGGTATGTTA